ATAATAATCACATGAAACTGTGAAACTGGCAACAATTACTGCTGGCAAAATTATTTTTTTTAAAAAAAATCTCATCCATTTTGAATTACTATAAAACAGTATGAACAGGAAAAATAAAATAAAAAATAAATTTTCTTAAAACCCATAATAACAGTAAATTTTATGGCATTTTTGAAACAGAAAAGGTATGATAAATTACATAAAATTTTAAAAAGTTGCTTATATGCAAACTTGCTAAAGAATTTAAGTTTACTGCTCTGAAGATAATGTTTTCATGTAATTCAAAAAAGGGCGACAATTAGTTTTACCAATATTATATGTATGTGAATATTCACATATACAAGAAATTTGATTGTTTGATTATTATGACAAAAATTATTTATTTATTGTAAACAAATAACTGATAAACAAATAAAAAAGGATAATCACATGAAATTAGTAATAGTTACGGCTGGTAAAATTATTTTTTTTTAAATCTCATCTGCAAATTAATTATTATTTTTACCAATATTATCAGTTATATGTATGTAGATATTTACATATACAGAAAATTTGAGTTTGATTATTATTGTTTAAATAAAAATTTAGTTTTTTAAAAAATTAATTAATAATCAACTATCATTAAAAAAGAAGTTAAAAATCCATGTATCTATTGATTCAATTCAGTATACTTATATGTAAATTTCCAATTAGATTTAAGAAGAAAAATATTTAATTGCTTTTTTATATAAAAAAGAACAGTAGTCAAATAATATTAATAAAAGAAGAAAAAAATTTAAAAAGAAAAAAATATATATTAACATTATTAATCAAAAATCAGGAATTTACAGCCTCTAGCATTATTTCTTATCCCACAATTTTTAACAAAAAAAAAAATATAAATATAAGTACCAGTTGACCGTATGGGTGGATATCCCCCAGCATTACCCACAATTTTCACCTATATATATAAAACTTAATTTTAGCCTGAATTGTCAAGCATTTATTTATTAAAATTTGAAAATATTTTTATAATTAAACAATTCATGATTTTACCGATCAGTGGAGCAACATTTTGCTGATCACTAATTAAATTTGGAAAATTGCAGAAATTAGCCATTAGAAACACGATTTATTTATATTTGTAAAAAGGAGGTGGCTGAAATTTACATGTGATATCATAACTACACACCTTAAATTGGAGTGCTTTTTTTTATGACTTTATTTTATTTCAAAATTTTAATAGTAAAAAGCATAGCATAGTGGACATGCTTTCATCACTTTGCTGATCATTCATCAATCATATAATATATCATGTCACATTAATTTTGAAGTTATGGTTAAAGCCATAAAATGCTTGGCCAAACTATACTAATGTTTTTTTTAGCAGTTTATGAAAAATAAAAAAAATTATATTGTCAAAGTTAACCTTAAACCAAAATTTTCAATAATTAGATAACTGTTTAAAGAATTTTTTTGATAAATTTAATATGCAGTAAATTTAAATGAATGTTAAACTGTCTATAAAATTATTATTATATAGGATTTTCAACCAAAAGCGGAGTGATAAAATTAAATAAATGATTGACAAATGATTGACAAAATTGTGACAAAGTAAAAATGAATGATAATCATTTCATTGGTGCTTAATAATTACCTAAGATGAAATGATTAATCAGTTACTGCGATTTTGTAATAATTGATCTACATTCCAGTTTGTTTGTCATATATGCAATGATGCAATGCTTGTACTTGTGATCAACGCTTTTGCACATAATGTATTTTGCATAAATATTATTACCATATTTATTCATACTAATAAAGGCGCTCAATAATAAAAAAAAAAAGAAAAGAAATAAAAATATTTACTTTATCCTTTTCCAGTTGGGAAGAATTTGAGAATTTTGATATAGTAATGGACCAATGTATTAAAGGTAGCTGAAATATTTTTTTATTTATAAACAATTCATGTTTAATATTTTACATAATTCAACTAATTATATTCTTAATTTAAATAACTAGATTGTAAGTAATATATATAATTTACAGTAAATGCCTTTATATTATCTTTATATTTAACTAATTAATAATTAATAATACTACAGGGTGTAAGTTATATGATATCTATATTTGTATTATTTATATAATTTAAACTAACTAATGTTTTTATTTAAAAAATTATTTTGTAATTTATTTAGTTGGTAAGTCATAAGTTGTTTATTTAATTCTATTATTACTTATTGTTATAATATTTACATATAATTTAAACTATCTAATTTCTTTATTTATATAATTATTAAATAATATAGCGAGTAAGTTATTTATTTAATTCTATTATTACTTATTGTTATAATATTTACATATAATTTAAACTATCTAATTTCTTTATTTAAAAAATTATTAAATAATATAGGGAGTAAGTTATTTATTTAATTCTATTATTACTTATTGTTATAATATTTACATATAATTTAAACTATCTAATTTCTTTATTTAAAAAATTATTAAATAATATAGGGAGTAAGTTATTTATTTAATTCTATTATTACTTATTGTTATAATATTTACATATAATTTAAACTATCTAATTTCTTTATTTAAAAAATTATTAAATAATATAGGGAGTAAGTTATTTATTTAATTCTATTATTACTTATTGTTATAATATTTACATATAATTTAAACTATCTAATTTCTTTATTTAAAAAATTATTAAATAATATAGGGAGTAAGTTATTTATTTAATTCTATTATTACTTATTGTTATAATATTTACATATAATTTAAACTATCTAATTTCTTTATTTAAAAAATTATTAAATAATATAGGGAGTAAGTTATTTATTTAATTCTATTATTACTTATTGTTATAATATTTACATATAATTTAAACTATCTAATTTCTTTATTTAAAAAATTATTAAATAATATAGGGAGTAAGTTATTTATTTAATTCTATTATTACTTATTGTTATAATATTTACATATAATTTAAACTATCTAATTTCTTTATTTAAAAAATTATTAAATAATATAGGGAGTAAGTTATTTATTTAATTCTATTATTACTTATTGTTATAATATTTACATATAATTTAAACTATCTAATTTCTTTATTTAAAAAATTATTAAATAATATAGGGAGTAAGTTATTTATTTAATTCTATTATTACTTATTGTTATAATATTTACATATAATTTAAACTATCTAATTTCTTTATTTAAAAAATTATTAAATAATATAGGGAGTAAGTTATTTATTTAATTCTATTATTACTTATTGTTATAATATTTACATATAATTTAAACTATCTAATTTCTTTATTTAAAAAATTATTAAATAATATAGGGAGTAAGTTATTTATTTAATTCTATTATTACTTATTGTTATAATATTTACATATAATTTAAACTATCTAATTTCTTTATTTAAAAAATTATTAAATAATATAGGGAGTAAGTTATTTATTTAATTCTATTATTACTTATTGTTATAATATTTACATATAATTTAAACTATCTAATTTCTTTATTTAAAAAATTATTAAATAATATAGGGAGTAAGTTATTTATTTAATTCTATTATTACTTATTGTTATAATATTTACATATAATTTAAACTATCTAATTTCTTTATTTAAAAAATTATTAAATAATATAGGGAGTAAGTTATTTATTTAATTCTATTATTACTTATTGTTATAATATTTACATATAATTTAAACTATCTAATTTCTTTATTTAAAAAATTATTAAATAATATAGGGAGTAAGTTATTTATTTAATTCTATTATTACTTATTGTTATAATATTTACATATAATTTAAACTATCTAATTTCTTTATTTAAAAAATTATTAAATAATATAGGGAGTAAGTTATTTATTTAATTCTATTATTACTTATTGTTATAATATTTACATATAATTTAAACTATCTAATTTCTTTATTTAAAAAATTATTAAATAATATAGGGAGTAAGTTATTTATTTAATTCTATTATTACTTATTGTTATAATATTTACATATAATTTAAACTATCTAATTTCTTTATTTAAAAAATTATTAAATAATATAGGGAGTAAGTTATTTATTTAATTCTATTATTACTTATTGTTATAATATTTACATATAATTTAAACTATCTAATTTCTTTATTTAAAAAATTATTAAATAATATAGGGAGTAAGTTATTTATTTAATTCTATTATTACTTATTGTTATAATATTTACATATAATTTAAACTATCTAATTTCTTTATTTAAAAAATTATTAAATAATATAGGGAGTAAGTTATTTATTTAATTCTATTATTACTTATTGTTATAATATTTACATATAATTTAAACTATCTAATTTCTTTATTTAAAAAATTATTATGATCTAGCTTGTAAGTATCTCTATTGTTATATATTTATATAATATTTATTTGTTAATTGAATTCTTTTATTTAAAAAATTATCTGTTACTTTAGTTGGTAAGTTGTAAATTATTGGTTATTATGTATTTATCCAAAAACTAAGACTTATATTACATTAAATTCCTATTTAAATTTTAGAGTAAGTAATAATTTATTTTAGTGTAAATTATAATACAATCTATAATATAATTTTAATTATTTAAATTTATAGATTTGGTAAAAGTGGAAATACAATTATAGATGATTTTATTCTTGAAAAAAAATTAAGATGGATTCCTTATAACAAATTTAAAAATGTTGAATATCTTTATGATGGAGGATTTGGTTCTATATACAAAGCTATTTGGTTAAAGAATTATGGAGATGAAAAAGAAGTAATTCTTAAATGTCCCAAGAATTTAAATGAAAATTTAAATGAATTTTTGAAAGAAGTATGATAGATTGATAGTATATTATTTTTTTATTTTTATAATTTATATTAATTAATTATTATTAATTTTTGTAGTGGAACTATCATAAGAATTGTTTAAATTCATCATATGATATTATAAATTTTTATGGATTTACAAAAGATCCAAAAATTTCAAAATATGCGGTAGTAATGGCTTATGCAAATAATGGTAATTTAAGAGAAAATTTAACAAGAATAGTCAAAAATAATTGGAATCAAAAATTATATATGTTGTACAGAATTATTACTGGACTTATTTTTATACATTAAAAAAATCTTATTCATTGTGATTTTCATGATGGTAATATTTTAAATCATGATGAGAATATAATTTGTATTAGTGATTTAGGATTATGTCAACCTGTAAAATCGTTTTTGAAAAAGTATGATATTTATGGTGTTATACCATTTATGGCTCCTGAAGTTTTAAGAGGCAAATCTTATACTCCAGCTAGTGATATATATAGTTTTTCTATGATTATGTGGGAACTTACATCTGGAGTACCACCATTTAATAATAGAGCACATGACATTCAACTTAGTTTAAGTATTTGTAAATATGGTGAACGTCCTGAAATTATTGAAAATACTCCACAATGTTATGTAAATTTGATGAAAAAATGTTGGAATGAAGATCCATTAAAAAGACCATCTGCTAAAGAAGTATTAAAAATTATTAAGAATTGGATTTTCCGTCCTGATGATGATGAAGTCAATGATGAATTAAAAAGCAACATTATGGAATTTATAAATGCACCAATTGGGCAGTATAACAATTTTGTTACTCAATCTCATCCTAAAGCATGTTATACAAGTCGCTTACTTAATTTTACTAGTAAAAAATTGAATGAAATTATTGAAAGTGAAGATTCACAAGCTAGTATAGAAGCAAATGAAATGCTAGTAAGTGAAGATTTGAATGATTATATAATTAAGGATTTGGGGTCATTAGGTATGTATTATGATATATAAAAAATTAATCTTGCAAATTATTTATGTGAAATTAATTTTATTTAATATTTAATCATTAAAACAGATGAAAATAATAGTAAAAAGTTGAATGAAATTGAAGATTCACAAGCTAGTATAAAAGCAAATGAAATGCTAGTAAGTGAAGATTTGAATGATTATATAATTAAGAATTTGGGGTCATTAGGTATGTATTATGATATAAAAAAGAATTAATGAATTAATCTTGCAAATTATTTATGTGAAATTAATTTTATTTAATATTTAATTTAGATATTAAAACAGATGAAAATTAACTAGTCATTGTTTGTTTTTAAAAAAAAATTATATTTTTTTTTTTAAGTGATATTTGATATTATACATTTAAAAGAAATTGTTCTTAATTTATTCTTTTTAAATTTATTTAAACGCTAAGGCTAGAGTAGTAAAATATTTTACAAAATTCTTAGTTTGTAATTTAAATAATTCCTTTTTTTTCTTTTTTTATTATACTTATAATTATTTAAACACTAAGACTAGAGTAGTAAAATATTTACAAGTTTCTTAGTTTGTAATTTAAATAAATCTTTTTTTTATAACTTTTCCAATTATGAGATATAAATTATCAAAATAATAATATAAACCCATTTCCAATGATAATGTATAGGCCAATAGCCTAACACTAGCCATTTTCTGTTTGATCACATGTTCGTACATAGCTCTGCATAACTCTGCTGGCTAAACCTGTCTGGAAAATGTCCTTCTATCAATTTTGTTTTACAGACAGTTCTATGAAAATGACAGCAAGTTCTTCTTCACAAGCCTCTTCCTTAATCCTCCAAAAAAGCAATCATACTTTACAGAAACTTTTAAAATCGAAACAAAATATTGACCATATCGAAAATATATCATGAAACTTTAATCAAGATTTGGCCATAACAAAATCAGCTGATTTGATCAAAATTGTAAAAATGTATTATTGAAATCTTATCGAATTTGTAAATAAATTGTAAAATTGTGTCATGAACCAATATTACGCATAATTTTTGAACGTGTTTGATAGTAAAGGCATTATACTCAAATGTATTCCAATATTAAAATTAACCCATGGTAATCAGGACTTGGATTAGTAAAAATTGGGAATCTTCCATTATTCCACGGAGATTTACCTTAATCAATTACTACACCTCCTATTGTCGTTCCATGACCTCCAATTCATTTCGTTGCGAATGAACATAAAGATTAAAAATGGATATTGCAAAAGATGGTTAATCAAGAGTTTATCATAAACCTACTGCGAACAACAATATCTGCACCATATTTTAATTGGTTTAATAAAAATATTCACCTATATGTATAATCAATTAATTAGATATCAATAATGTAAATAAAAGTAAAAAAATCTCATCTTATACTGGCCAGTACCAAAGGTATTATTAATGATAACATGTATTTTCAGTGATAACTGGTATTCCCACATCATGTGCAATCTTACAAATTGCTTCAAAATCTGTAATATTAAATTTCGGATTTCTCATAGATTCAAGATATATAGCTCTCAGTTTATCATTGATAATTTAGCGAATTCTTCTGGATCATTGCCTTGAACAAAATTGACATTGATCCCAATTTTGGAAGTGTAGCCTATTCGTTAAAAAAAAAAAATAATTCACACATGATGTTAACTTTAAAAAAATTTTAATTTATGAAAATTAAGTTCCACCATATAAGCAACTTGTTGAAATGATATTATCACCCACCGAGCGAATCATTAATATGGCAACAAATTATACAATCCGTCCAGACGATGTAGAGATAATGTTAGTTTCACCTTCAAGTGCAGCCATCCTCTTTTCAAATACGGTTAATAATTTTTTTTATGAATAAAATAATGGGCAGCATATTATTTGTAAGAATAAAAGTAAAATAAGTTTAAAACATTTATTAACATGTTGTTGGATTATCCATCCTTTTTTTTAAAAAAAAGAAAAAATTGGTTATTATAATTATTTTAATAAAAAAAAAATCATAAATCAGTATCATATTTGCGGAATTCTTATAGAAATTATGGATAAAATATTTTACAGGGAAGTAGTTACATTAATTGGACAGCTCTTTGCATATGTAGTAATAATATCAAGTGTATGAATCTGCATGCAATTGAAGAGTTTCAAAACGGAAATTACTCTTTTTGTTTTTTTCCATCTTTTCCGTCATATTTTAAATTATTTGGTTAAAATTCAATAAATCTGGAAGGAAAAAAACAAACGAGTCAAATGATGATCAAAAATTCGAATAAATTCTTTTAAGGTATTTATAGAAAAATCATAAATGCACCTTACTAATTTAGTCATTGATCATCATGCGTAAAGGAAACTGTAAAAATAACGGATCAATTCGTTATAAAAATTCTTAAAACATATATTAATTACATCGAAGTTTATTATGCTTAATTTCGAATGATGACTATAAATTTAAAATTTAAAATAAATGCCTTTGCCTAAAATAACTTTAAGGTAAAATAGAAGATCATTTGTAAGTTACGCTACTTGTGGTAATCGTTATTTAACTCGGTATAATGTAATTACGGGAAACAAAAATAAAAAAACTGAAATTATCTTAAATTCTTTTGAAAATTATTATTAAAGATTCTTATTTGTAATCAATCTATTCTATCTGAATAATAAATTAATCTTCACATATTGAAAAATTATTTAAGAACTAAGATTAATTTTAACATCATTGAATAATTCAAACGTACACAAGTAAAAATATCAAGTATTAGGTCATTTAATAAGAAGAATTTATAAAAGATTTTGGTCACCGATCGTAAAAAAAAAGATTAGTTTTTTTATTTATATATGATATTTGATTTGTCTACCATAAAAGGATGTCAAGGATATTACGTAACGGAGATTTATATCCTTGAAAATGAAAAATTGGGATTAAATTATTATACCTAACCAAAATTCCCGATTTGGACGAAAAACTCTCGGATACTTTTAGTACTAACGCCTAAATTTTTTTTTTTTGTTAGAAAAGGAAACTACTTGCCATTTTTAATTTGTCCTTTTCTCTTTTTGTAATAAAAACAGCTGGCTCAAAATTCAAACCACTTCCCTATTTTATCATTTTCTCTTTTGTAGGAAAAAAAAAAATTTTATCAAAAAAAATTAATTTCTTGAAAATTTCTGATATTTCAATTAAGGTTATAATTATTTTAATTTTGAAAAAAAAATACAATCATCAAAAAATAGTAAAAAAGGAAGAAACAATATTAATAATTGTTTAAGTGTAAAGAAATAGTCTGAGTTTTAGAAAAATATCAAATGGTTCCTATCAAAAAAAACTATTCCATCCATATTATTTAAAGATGAACTGTACATTTGTGAGCATTGGAATTTAGTGTCTGTATTAAAAATAAACATTCATCATTTATTTATTTAAATTGAAACATAATCATGGTAACGTTCAAAAATTTTTCATAATTCGGAAGCGTAAATTAACGGTTAAGAGTTTATTTTTAGTCTTAGAATTTCCATGTAGTATTATTAATTGTTATTAAGCCTGCGAAGATTATAAACATATTTAATTTGGTCTTTATTATCATATTGTTTTAACCTATTATTATATAATTATTCATTTATTATAGAATTTGGTCTAACTCAAATATTTAATGCAATTTTTAATTGTTATTAAACCTTTTTAAGAATATGAACAAGTCTTGTTGTCTGATTTAAATAATTTCATAAGCTATCGTCTGTTCCACTTTGCATATTACAAAATAATATTAATTCAAATTCAATATAAAAGTTCATTTGTGACTATTAATTTTTTATGATTTTCACGCTTTTATTTTTCATTATTATTTCGCACAAAAACTTTTGTTAATTTTAGTCAGTATTTATTTCCTTTAAAAATCCTTACTTAATTTCCATATCTATATCCATTACCATTTTCAATTTCAGAATGTTAAGTTTTGATAAGTCAAGATTCAAAGAAAAGGGTATTTTTTGAGTATTCATGAATGATTATGCACAAATTGTGCAAGTTGATTTAAATGTATCTCAAAAATTCCTGTAGTAATACTTTCTTCATCAATAACATCATGATCGTAATTAATGGATTTTGCGGTTATTTGTTTTTTTTGGAAATACGTTTAGATTTATACTTTTTAGTTGTTTAATCAAACATGAATTACAAGTTTTAGAATGTCGATTTCTTAACTACTTATTGCATCTTCAGAAAAATATAATGAAAACGTGTTGGTCAAAGTAAAATTGCGTGGCTTTTAAGAATTTAGCAGCTTTTTATTAACTAATCATATTTGCTGCGCCGCAGAGAAATTTGAAGGGTCTGTATAAATAATTTTCAGTGAAATGACGAGTCAGATAATTTTCATGTCGATAAACGTTAAAATGACATCTCGGTGAAATGAAGCTAGGTAATTTTTTCATATCGGTAAAATGGAAGTCAACAAAATGTAATCGGTTAATTACATGGCGGTGAAATGGCTGGCTATATATTGTCATCATAACCCTTTTCTTTATAAAAATATAATACAAAACTAATTTACTAAGTTTACAATTTTTTTTATGGCAGTTAGAGAACTTGTGCATTGACTGTTAAATGATGATTCTTTTCATCTAAAGTTTGGGTTAAAGTCTGTAGGAAAATCATGGAGAAGTTATTTTATCGGCTTTGGATTCGGGTCAAAATATCTTTTGTGTAAAAAAACTCTGTTGTTTAACGAAGATCAAATAAATGATATGATTGCATCTTAATTACGTTAAAATTTATTTTTTATTAGGAAAAATTATTTTCATAACTAAAGTATTACATGATTGATAAAAGCATTAAAAAAACTATATTACATTATAGATAAAATCATTAAAAAGCTACATATTACATGATTGAGAATTATAGATAAAGCATTAAAAAGTACATATTATATATCTACATATTATATGTTTGAAATTATAGACATAGCATCATAAAAATATAAATTTAAGAATTGATTCCAGTGAAATATACAAGAAAAAAAGCTAACGACTTTTTTCAATTTCACTAACACCACTATCGATTCTATATAAAGACGTCAACTTTGCTTTCTGATCCTACAGACAGCAAGTAAGCAAAAAAAAAAAGTTGGTACAATTGAGCCTAACTTAGGAAATGTGAAATGAAACAGTACTCACCTTATAGTCTGTGAGAAACTTTTCCACATCCCACCCAAATGTGTCCTCTAGCTCATTCAAAATGTCAAATTTGTAGGTTTCTAGGGTTACTGATGATATGTCCATCCGAGCAAGAATAGAAAATACAAAACAAGCACGAGCTTTGTGCTGAAGAAATTCTTCAAATGATGGATGATCCAGAGCAATCCACGTATGTATGTCATTAGCATAAAAATGATCCGTATAATTCATACCATTAATACACAAGTTGAACATGAGCCAATATAGTTCGATAATCCTAAAATCTTTCACGCCTTCCAAATCCTCTTTAGCACGAACTAATGGATCTGGATATACGGCAGCTTTAATATTGCATACTTGCCAATCCAGATCTTTCACTGCTCGTATATATTCATCCTTAGTCATTTGTTCTGTAGCCACAATAATAAAATGCCATCCTTTTTTATTCTTTTTTGGAAAACGGAGTTTCATTTCGTGAGTGTAAACTAGGGCTAGTTTACTAGGAAGATATGTTCCTTGGCTAAGATAATAACAGGGGGCTTCTTTACTAACTGGTGAATTGTGGTTAGGATCGCCTAAAGGTACGAAACAAGAAGCTCCAACTGCTCCTTCGACGTTGTTAGATGGGTAATACTTTATGTAATCATCAGCCACAATTTCATAATCATGATAAAGTGTTAAATCTTCAAGTTTGGCATTAATACGATGCGTTGGCCAATAGACCTTTGAAAAACGTACACCTTTCTCTGGAGGAATAGAATAAATAGGTTCCATAGTCAGAAAGTAAATAAAAGAAATTTTTTTTTTTTTTTTTTTTTTGAAATGTTGTTATTTAAATAATTATTAAATGATATCATGACGTAAGATCAATAGTCCGCAGTAAACACAATTAATTATTAATAATGACTGATAATTGTCAGTCTGACTAAATGGCGTAGTAAAAATTATTAACATGATTAACATGATTAATAATTTGTTTAATTTATTTATACTTTATAGAGTTTGATATCCTTGATATCCTATGACGCATCTGCGCTTTGAGATGGCACCACAAAAGATACAAGAGATGACTCATGATGTTTATCATGTGACTACATGAGTACTTGAAAAAATACTAATTATATGTCACACATCAGTAAAAAAATCTATGGTCCATCAAGATGTTATTTTTATAAAAAAAAAAATTGACTTTAGCTGATGATGGGCTTATGATTGATTATACAGCTGTGATTTGTAAATCTGCAAAGGTAACAGTCCTTGATTAAATATATTGATTATGAAAGATAATATACGTTAATCAAAGAAATAGTTTTTTAAAAAGTTTTTTTAAGAATAAAAGTCATATATTTATGTAAGAAAATTGATGCGATTTGTCGCTAGTCCCTGTTTGTCATGTGAACTACGTAATTTAATATGGTATACACGTGATATTTACTTCATTAAACTTTTTGATTTCCCACTTGAATTTTTTTATCTTTAATATTGAACGTAGAACCCATAAATAATTTCATTTACTTTTTTCCCTTTCACGTAAACCTACTTTATGGAAGAAAAAGAATTCAAAAATATTCATCTTTCAGAATTTGCTCAAGGTATGTAATTAGGTAAAATAATGTTGGCAGTATAATGTTGGTTTTAAAATAGTGTTGGCTTTAGAGTGGTAGTTGGTTTTGGAGCAGCTTAGGGTTATGGTAAGAAGAGCGCGAGGTAGGAATTGTCCATCGTCGTACATATGTCTGATTTTACTAAATGCACTACTGTGAAAAAGATTAGTTGTCCATTTATTATTAATATTTCATGTCCGAAGTCGAACAATCCTGAAGGCTTTGTGATTATCAACAAAATTGTTGTTGAATTTGTTGTTTTACATATATTGTTGTTATTTATATTGAACTTATTAATTTAACTAAGAATAATGTTTGGTTTGTTCGGTTTGGAATAGAATATATAAACAAAAAGAATGTATTAATGGAGTAAAGAAATGTATAAATATAAGGAATGTATTAATAGGATACAATGATGTTAATAATTAATGTTAACAAATAATATTGCTATATTTTAACTAATAAATCACATGATTAATTCTCTAAACACGTGACAATCGTGACATTTGAGGCTTAACGATGTATCAGCCATAGCAATAAAAAACAAAACCATATCCAATATAATTTTTACGAATCTGTAAATATACATTTTTTTATGTGAATATAAAATTATTATAGTGAAAGTATAGAACTATTTTAATATAAATTTATATCTAATGGATCTAATCCATAATCAAATAAATATTATGTAAATATTTTATATAAAAATTATATAAGTGTAAAACTATTTAAAATATAAATTTATATATAATCTATATCTAATTTATATACTAGTAATTATATATTCACAAAATTTCAATACATGTTTTTCATGTAAACCTGTGTATAAAAATATTTATATATTTTATTTAATTTTTAAATAAGTTATCCTATATAATTTTAATTTAAAATACTTGGCGAGGTTTAATAAAGTTACGATAAATCTCATTTTTAAAAATTTTAGCTATCAATACTAAAACTTCGCCAACATAACACATCTTGTGATTTTGTAAAATATTTTGATTAGTAATTTAAAAAATTAACTAGATAGTTGAGTAGATGCAAAAAATAAAAGAATCCATTAAAATCTAAGATAAAAAAAATTAACGAAAATAGTTTTAACGATCCAATTTTTTTATTAATGAACTAAAATGCATTTTTTTTTAAATATAAAAAAACTATTTAGTTTTTTTGAAACGAAAATCGGTTGTTTATAAATTTTTCTTGTGTTTTTCATTTTTTTAAACAAATAATGCATGATATCTCGTAATATTTTCAATGATCAGCTGATTCAGTTCATGTGATGATCATTTAAACGCGAATCTGCAACTCAGCAATAAAAAACGTACATCAAAGTTTCTAAAATTTAATAATTATTAATAAATTGTCATTTAGAATAAATTTTACTTTAAACCTTATTTTCTTAATTTTAAATTCATACGATAAATTTTCTTGATAATTGAAATTAATTATTTCATAAATCGATTTAAAGACGGTCGAATATTTTTACAAAATAAATTTTTGATGAATACATAATTTTTGAATAAAATTATTCGTAATTTTTCAATTTGTTATGTGTGAATATCAACAAAGAATTTTCTATGAATTACGTGATAACCTAGTTTACAATTAATAAAAATATATTATATTGGCTTATTAAATTGACTAGACTTACTGTTTTTTTAGCTAGCTATGCTCTGCCCGTTCTGTTCCATAAACTACTGCTCATGTAAAATATATTATTTTTCATCTGTTTTAATTAATTACTTAATTATGATGTAAATATTGATGTCATCTTTGTCTATTTTGTCTATTAACATGAAAAATAGATATTAGTTATAACATATTGTAATGATTAATTGATCTAACTTTTTTATATGAAAAAATTATCATCTTCAGTTGATTTAAGCTGAAAACTTTTTCAAAAGCTACAGTACAATAAAAATAGTAATTTCTTTCGATACACTTTTTGCTGGAGTAAAGTCAATTCAAATTTGGGAAACCCCAAGAAAAAAAAAAAGAAGTAAATTCGAAAGACTAATGATGATAAAATCGAGGAATTAGTTGAAGAAAATCAAAGTTTAAGAAGATGTTGAATTGTATATGAGTAAAATATTAAATTATAGTTAATTTTATATGTCAATTGTACCCGCAAAATAACAATGTTAGAAAATTGTAGAATAGTAAGTGGTAATGCTTTTTTGGGGAATCGGTTAAGGTTTTTTTGGAATATTGTTTCATTCTAATAGGAAAAATTAATAGAAAGTATTTTTATCACGTTGAGACATTATCGTACATTACATACTGGGTTTCATGGTCAGAATTCATGATCGACATCATTAGTTACATTAGCAGTTAGCTACACGTTGTACGTCATCTATTCTAAAATTCATAAGACATTAAATCTCTGTATTCGTGTCTTTTAGTCAACAGAACTTGGTGTGAAATGACGGTGCCAATTTTATAGAGTAAATGATGTTATCTAACCAAAGTAGCATGTAAAATTTCATTATTAAATGTAATATTTCCACATTTATCAGAAGAATCAAGAGATTATTTAAAGAATCAGGGAATTGATCTTTTTAATAGAAACATATCAACGTCCATCGTTTAAATATATTAATTTTTGGAAGCATTTAAATTTATATTTCTAATATTTAATGGATGTTTTGTAATAAATTATGAAATATATAAGAACCTATTATAAAAAACGAAGTAATGAAATTGTTTATTAATAATAATACGATATTTCAGAACTACTACAATATATTAATGTGAACATTACTTTTCAAAATTCAAATATTTTTATTGCAATGATAATATCATAGCTGTAATAAACACACCAATTAAAAGATTAACCATTAATATCATGACGCATACCAATAATCCTGGAATTGTTAGATTAATAGAAGCTCAATAAAATCTAAAGTCAATTTCGGTGAAAATTTTGTAGATCATTAATGAAATTTATTTAATCGACATGGCATCACTGTGTCTAGTGTAACAAAATGAAAACGTTAACGCAATATTTTATAGCAGAAAAACCGAATGCATTATCTGTTATTAATTTCCCTTCTGATAAAAATTAAAAAAAATAACTCATCTTTGTAGCAACAGAAGATTCTTATTATCTACGAATTTCACTGATCGACGAATTAAACCTGAAACTTTTTTTTTCAAATTTATTTTTTTTCGGTTTTTTTCTTTAAACAGATTATTTTACTTTTTTTTGGTTTTAATTTTTTTTCCCTTTATGGCCTATATCCGATATAGTAATTTTTTTTCTTAATTTTTTTTTCATTCTTTACATTTTAGGTTTGGATCAGGCCAGTCACATTCTTTTTTTTTATTCGAATAAATATATTTTTTTTTTTTAGTTAGAATAAATAAGATTTTAAAAAATATACAACCGAAAAAAAAGTAAAACTTATTTTAATATTGCTCATTTTTATTTTTTTTTATTATTAATATTATAATTTATTTTATTTAAGTAAAATTCATTAATCCTGTTGCAGCGCTACATTACAGTATATTAAATAATAGTTTACTATTTGATCGAGCCAATAATGCTTGATCATTGATCGGTTTCGAATCAATAACGTAAGAATTAAATAAAAATGCTCGCCTATAGTATTTTCGATAATAAACAACATTTGGATCTCACTTATACCTTTTTATCTCAGAATTTTTATTCTGAAGCTTAAAAATAGTCAAGTCTCGATCAAAAAGGATATACAGTAAATATGTGATCTGAATAATCCTAGTTTTATCATCCTTTTGTAACTTAAAATATTTTTACGTTTACTTTGTTTCTATGTGTAGTTATTTGTAAAATCACATTCTAAACAACTTTATTTGCATATTATTAAATACTCAAATTATATTAATCTTATCGTGTTTGATAAATTCATTGACAACTAACGATCATCGCTTCAAATATTATGTCCGTTAAGCTACAAAATTGGTGACTTCAAAGAAAAAGTATTGGTACTCATTTATTTGTTCATATTATACAGTTACTTTAAATATATATAGTATAAATAATAAACAAATTATTCGTTAATATGAACAATAGTAAGCACCATATAAATATTATATTTTTATATATGAAATAAAAAAATTACAAATTCGAGTATAATGAGAAAGTCTAATAAAAATTATTAAATATTTCAGTTCTAATACTTTGCATTTGCAGAATAACGAAATATTTTACTTTTATAGTTCTATGGATAATTGAAATTAGTTTTAATACGTTTTCCTATAATAATTTTATATTTGATTTAAATAAAAAAAATTAACTATTAATGTAAATATTAAAACAATAATAAAATAACATTGAGCCAGATAAATATTTAATTACCACTATCATCATGAGTTTCTAAATTTAAAAATTCTTCATTTCTTCTCTTTTTTAAATTTTGTGATCTGAAACTAAATAAAAAAATTATACAAATGATTAGTTGTGCCATTTATAAACATTCTTTTTATCATTATTTTAAATACCTTTCAGTATTTATATCAAGCTCTAATTCTGTTGAGATATATCTAGAATAACTTAAATTTTGAGATGATAAACTAATTAAAAAATTAATAAATTTAAATAATTAGTTGTCATTTAAAGACATTTTTTTATCATTATTTTAAATACCTTTCAGTGTTTATATCAAGATCTAATTCTGCTGAAATATATCTACTAGAATCTAAAGTGGTTGAATAATTTTGAATCGTAAAACTTAAATTTTGAGATGATAAACTAATTAAAAAAATTTACAAATTCAAATAATTAGTTGTCATTTAAAACATTTTTTTTTTTTTTTTTTTTTTTTTTTTTCTAGTATATCAAACTCTAATTCTTCTGAGATATAATTAGAATTTAAAGAGGTTGAAGATTTTTGGATTGCAAAATTTAAATTTTGTGATGATAAACTAATAAATAAATTAACAAATACAAATAATTAGTTACGTTATTTAAAATAAATTTTTTTTTTCGTTATTTTAAATACCTTTCAGTGTCTTTATCATCCTGTAATTCTGAGATATAATTGGAATCTTAAGATTATAACATATTTCTTATAAATTACAGTATATAGATAGTAAATATTTTTAAATTACAACCAATATTTTTTTTGTAATACCTTGTTTACCAAATGAAATTGTTGTTGATGAATAGATGGATGAACATTTAGAAATTAAAGCACTTAATGGCCTACTTGTATAAATGGCTCCTGGATGTCGTTTTTCAGCAAATACCGGCCCAATATTCTTTGATTCTATCAATTTTTTTCTATTTTCTTCAGCTTGAATAAACTCTGCTTTATTTTTAATTCTAAATATCCACTCACTAAAAGTTGAACGAATTTCTTTTATAATAGGTCTTTTTTTTGGATCAGGATTCCAACAACTTTTCATTAAGTTGGCATAACATTCTGGTGTATCTTCTGTAATTTTGGGTCGTTCTCCATCAAGAATTTTATAAATAAGACTGTGATCATGTTCAACATTATCAAAAGGTTTACATCCTGTTGTAAGTTCCCACATAATCATACCAAAACTATAAATATCAGCTTCTTTAGAAAATTCGGATCCTTTAAATATTTCCGGTGCAATATAAGGTATTACTCCGTATATTTCGTTATTTGATGATTTATTATTTACAGCTTGTGATAATCCTAGATCTCCAATTCGCAAATCATCATGTTTATATTTACTACTAGTGCCATAATACCTACTACTTGAATAACATAATATGTTCCCGCTATGGAAGTCTCGGTGCATAAATTTTTTATTATGAATAGTTTCAAGTCTAAAAATATTAAAAATTAATAACAAAATTTTAGAATATAATTAATAAATATAAATTATGCATACCCCTTTGAAATGTCATATAAAATAAAATATTAAAAATTAATAACAAAATTTCAAAATATAATTAATAAATATGCATACCCCTTTGAAATGTCATATAAAATAAGTAATTTTTGTTTATTCCATGTAATATTTGTAAATTTTTTTTGTAAATACTTATGTAAATCTCCTCCTGACGCATATTCTATAACTAATATATAATCCTCTAATTCAGGATCTTTAGTAAAGCCATAAGTTTGAATGATATAACTATTAAAATTTTCAAAACAATGTTGACATGAATTTAACTATTTAAATTTAAAGGTTTAATTAAATTAAAATTAAGTTTATTTGAACAAGAATATTATATAAGAAATATTTAAATATTTTACCTCATTTAAGAAATATTTGTCAATATTTTTAGAATTTTCAAATCTTTTTAAAATGACAGTTTTATTTTTACTTGACCAAGTTGCTTTATATATAATACCATATCCTCCTTTTGCTATTTCTTTAACACTAGTAAATTGAGAATATGGTATCCACTTAATTGGGTTTAACCTTGATTGTTTATTAAGGAAACTATTGAATATTTTCCTTGGGTTAAAATATTTATTTATCTTTTTTATACAATTTGCAGATTTAATTTGTATTTTTAGTTTGTCGAATTTATGTAATATAACATTATAAAGAAGAAAATCATCGATATCACTTTTTAAACTACTGTTTATAATTAATGATATTCTTTTACATCTTTTACATTGAGATTGACCTGTAGGTCCAAAAATAATATTTGTTGTTAAACAGTAGCTGCATCCAATATAATATACAAGACAATCTGCACAATACTTTTGACAGTCTGATGTAAATGTTAACTCTGAATCACATACATCACAATGAGAATTATTATGCCACCATGGTAAGTAAAGAATTGAAATTTGCTTTTTAACCAAGGTGGATTCTATCAATTCAGAAGAAATTATATAACAATCAGAGCATAATTTAAATTGCTTCATGATCCATTTATCCGTTCCTTGATATAATGACATTCCACATAATTTACAATTTTTTTCACTTTCAATCACCTTATTGTATAAAATGGAAATATTTTTATCCGTTCCACCATATACAATACCATAACTATCATATATTTGTTTAAAACATAAAATTCTCACACAATTTGCACAGCATTCTTGAATACTTTGTGGTACTTTTGTACTACTTATTTCATGCTCACTACATTCTAAGTCCTCAGTGTAAATATATAAGTCCAAGTATATATTATTATCAGTTATATCATTAATATAACGTGATAAACATTTTTTGCAATATTGTTGTAAATAACAAAAAAGCGTTCTAATATATTTTTCTCCACAATAAACACAATTTTCATCCCTACAATTAAAAGGAATAAATTTAATTGGTATAGGACTAGATTTTAATCTTGGTGTTGGATCAAAAGAATTTTCATCATTTGCATTTACAATTTCCATTTTATTAAGTTAATTAATATTTGTTATAGACAAGTATCGATAAGATAATGAATTTGGAAAATTTGAATATACGTATTTTATTTATATCTGAATTATCAGGAGTTTGAGCCTTTTGTTGGTGAAACGGAAAGTATTTCTAGATTTTCTCATGGAATCTTAAGAATTTAACATAGTACTACGGAAAAGTCCATTTAAAAAATTTAGCATTTTATCGGAGTAAATGCATAGCGAAATGCAATTAATACATTTAACTTTATCATTTTTACTTAATTTAGTTGTAATTCATATAATCAACTAGTGGAAATATCTAAGTATTTGGCGTAATAAAATAAACCTTTCAGCATAGAAAATAATTATGGAAAGTACAAATTAACGAAAAAGGGAACGGAAAAAAGCGAAGCAATAATTTGCACAAAAGCGGAAAATAAGAAAAAAATATTTCCTTCTTTTGTACATAAAATAAGGCCAAAAAAATAACTGTGTACGACAAATTGAGATATATAATTACTTTTGTAATATAATGAATGATAATCCTAAAAAAGTTCATTACAATGAACACTGAATATTAAAATTTTTTTTTTTAGATTGATCTACTCAATACCTAAATATAAAAAAAGAGCTCATAGAATAATAACAATTCGGCTTTTTCCATTTTATTGTAATATTTTTTTTTTTTGTTCTTACGTGCAGTTAATTGTAAAACTATTCTAAACAATTAGTATATTTGCATATTAAATACGCAAGAACAATAATCATTCTAGAACAAAATAATTTAATTCTATTAAAATCATAAGACTTCGGTTTGCTTCCTAGATATTATGCAAAAAATATTTGCATGTTCTAACGTTCTATGACGTTATTGGTTAAAGGCCTTATAAGTATTACATCGTAAAACATGTTCAGCGTGTAGTAGTTTAACACTTGAAAATCATTTTGCATAAATGTAGTGTATAATGATTAAAAAATAATCTTTATTTTTTTTTTGTCTATTATAAATGTTAATGAATTCATAATTTTGACTCAAATTCCTCATTAAAAAAAAACAATAATTATAATAATAATAGTGTTCTTTTAATCTAGCTAGATATAAGATAAATAATATTATTATTATCTTGAACGTGAAAATAAAATTACGTGAACAAAAGTTAAGAATATTAATTGATTTCTTTAATTTTTTCAAACGCAATTGTAAAATCTTCTTTAATATCATCGATATGTTCATAGCCAACAGAGACACGTATCATCTCTTTATTTACTCCTGCAGATATTTGTTCTTCGTCCGTTAATTGTTGATGTGTCGTTGAAGCAGGATGTATTACGAGAGTTTTTGCGTCTCCCACATTTGCTAAATGACTAAAGAAATAATAATGATAATTAATTTTTCATGTGAATAAAAATAATTAATTAAATTGATTTAACCTTCTTACCTTGCAAGTTGTAAAGCATCAATGAATGCGTCACCAATATTAGCATCACCTTTAACACCAAAAGCCAAAACACATCCAAAACCATTTCGCATATATTTTTTAGCATTTTTATGATAAGGATGTGATTCAAGTCCTGGATATGAAACCCATAAGACATCATCTCTTGATTCTAACCATCTTGCTAATTCTAAAGCATTTTCAGCTTGTCTATGAACTCTTAATGATAAAGTTTCAAGACCTTGAATTAATAAAAATGAACCAAAAGGATTTTGACATGGTCCAATGTTACGCATAATTTCTAAACGTGCTTTCATAGTAAAGGAATTATAGCCAAATGTATCCCAACAAATTAACCCATGGTAATCAGTACATGGATTAGTAAAAATTGGGAATTTTCCATTATTCCACGGAAATTTACCACCATCAATTATTACACCACCTATTGTTGTTCCATGACCTCCAATCCATTTCGTTGCGCCTAACGATTGAACATAAAGATTAACAAATGGATATTTCAAAATGACGTTTAATCAAGAGTTGATAATAAACCTACTGTGAACAACAATATCTGCACCATGTTCAATTGGCTTAATAAGATATCCACCTATATATACATAATATATACGATCAATTAATTAGATATCAATAAAAGTAAAAAAAAAAACTCTCATCTCTTTTTACTTGCCAGCACCAAAGGTATTATCAACGATAACAGGTATTCCCGCATCATGTGCAACCTTACATATTGCTTCAAAATCTGGAACATTAAATTTCGGATTTCCCATAGATTCAAGATATATAGCTTTCGTTTTATCATCTATTAATTTAGAGAATTCTTCTGGATCATCACCTTGAACGAATTTAACATTGATCCCAAATCTTGGAAGTGTAACCTATTCGTTTAAAAAAAAAAAAAAATAATTAACACACATGATGTTAACTTTAAAGATTTTGGTTTACAAAAAAAAATACCTTAAATTGAATGTAAGTTCCGCCATATAAACAACTTGTTGAAATGATATTATCACCCATTGAACAAATCGTTGTGATGGCAACAAATTGTGCAGCCTGACCAGATGATGTAGAAATAGCGTTAGTTCCACCTTCAAGCGCAGCCATTCTCTGTTCAAATACAGCTAACAATTTTTTTTATAAATAAAATAAGGGTCAGTATATATTTGTAAAAATAAAAGTAAAATAAATCGAAACATTTATTTATTTACATGTTGTTGGATTATCCATTCTTTTTTTAAGAAAGAAAAATTGATTAAATATTTTGATTAATAAAAAAAAAAAAATCATAAATCAAAATCAAAAAAAAATAAAATTTTTTATAACATAATATAGTACCTCGAATAAACGTAAGCTACTTCTTTACCACCAAAAACATTTGCGGCATGTTCAGCATTTTTAAATGTAAACGAAGTAGTTGCATAAATTGGAACAGCTCTTGCACGTGTAGCAATATCAGGTGTATGACCTGCGTGTAATTGAAGAGTTTCAAAACGAAAATTTCTCTTTTCCGTCGTTTCCGTCGTTTCTGTCGTTTCCGTCGTTTCCGTCGTTTCTGTCATTTCTGTCTTTTCCGTTTTTTCCGTCATATTTTAAATTTTTTAGTTAAAAAATCAATGAATTTTAAAAGGAAAAAAATGAATGAATCAAATGATGATCAAAATTTTCGAATAAATTTGATTTAAGGGTATTTATAAAAATCATGATATACCTTACCAATTTTGTATAATTTAGTCATTGGGATTGTCATGTGTAGAATAGTAGTAATACTTTGTTTCTTAATTTAGATTTAATATAGACTGATTGTCGTAAATCATTAAAATAATAAGACGCCCTTACTTAGCAATGTGTTACGTAATCAAAAGTCAATAAAAATAGGAAAACTATAACCGTGGAAAAAGTATGGATCAATCGAAATATATATTATGAATACTACCAATAAAAGAAAGTATTGAAAGAATCAAAATTCGAATGATGATTATAAATTTGAAATTTAAAATAAACACCTTTACCTAAAATAACTTTAAGATTGCATTCCCAAATGAGAAGAAAGATTTTATTAGAAAGAAATATTTTTTTGGAAATTAAAAACCAATTACGGTTCATAAACTAATTAGGGATATGAAATTTGCGGAAATCGTTATTTAACTCATTTAAACTCGGTATAAAGTTATTGAAATATTCGAAACCTTAATTTTTTTATTGAATAAATAATAAAAATTTTAAATGAGTACATATATTAAGTTTAAGATACTTCAAGAGTCACTAATAAATATCTTAATAACTCGGAATAAAAATATTAAGAATGTTACGATAATACCGACGAATTAAATAAATTTTCATTAAATAATCATTGAAAATTTTAACTGGTTAACGCAATATATTGATTACTGTAATAATATACGCCTTGCACAACGTAAATTTTCACAAAAAAAATAAAATAAAATAAAATAAACCGAAATTAAAAATCAATTCAAGTAAAAATCTTCTATATATACTATCTGCACTATTAATATTCACATATTGAATAATTATTCATTTGACAAATTTAGACAAAAGCGCAAAGATTAACACCATTAAATACTCCAAATAAATATACACAAATAAAAATATTATAAAGTAATAAAGTAATAGGCCATTTAATAAGGGGTCTTTAAAAGTAAAAAATAAAAAAGGTTTTTGTTTGCGGTTATATTTGATTTGTTTACCATAAAAGGATGACTTTGTTATGTAATTGTGTTACATTTTTATCACTTATAAGGTAAGTTAATTTAGTAATCATCAACTTTTGTTTCTTTATTAGAATATTAATGACGAAATTGAAAACCGCAGTAATAAATTACGCAGTCAGTTACGCAGTCATTGTTGTATTATTATTAAGGATCAACAATTAAATTTTACAATATAATTGTTTACTCCTACTCCTTTTAATTGAAAATTTACATTGTGACGCCATTCAAATAACTTACAAAAGCAAATATTATTAATTGTATTAATTTGGAAATATTCATCAAAATTTACTATAAATCTAATCTTTCTTTTGTTTCCAAATAAAGAATATTAATATTCTCCTTATGATTAATTTTCATTATAAATAAAGGTTAATTCTCCCTTTCTCAAAAATATTAATTTTCAAAAAAGTTAAAAATCTATTACTATCTAAAGACAAATTATTTAAACATGTTAATTAAAGATTCACTCTATACGAAAAAAATCGTGAAATCTTTTCATATTTATAATAACAATAATAGTGCTACTCTTTACGATTTAAAAAAAAGACATGTAGAAGAAAGAGTAGAAAAAGAAGAAAATCTTTTAAATTAAAGAAAAAGTTATAAATTTATAAATTTAAAATATTTAAAATATTTAAAATATTTGATAGGACATCAGACATCAGACATCTCCTCTCTCAACGTCTGGTGTCCTTACAAAGGATAATCTTTATAAATTATTATGTTAAAGAAACTCTAGAAATTCACTTTAAACAAATATTATCTTGTCACTTATTAAAGTTCCTAATCTTAGTTTATGTTAGTTTATTTGTAGTTTATGTTAGTTTGTTTGCAGTTTACGTTAGTTTATTTGTAGTTTATGTTAGTTAATTTTTATTCCTTACACTATTTCTTACACATTCTTCTTATTCGATCTTAATAAAATTTATCCGTCAGGAATTTTTTTTTTTCTAAAAAAAAAAATATTTTTAATTTGTTAATGGTTTTTTATTTGAAACTTGCTCGTGTGACTACAATATCGTGCATTTTAACTTAATAATATTTACAGTTAATCCAAGTGACCTTAAAAGTTATAATAACGAATCTTGACTTTTAACGAATCCAATAATAAAACACGGCCAATTCTTTCCAACGCGTTATTCTACTAAATTAGCAATCCCAATATAACTTTTATCATTTAAAACATACTGTATAAGCGCAACTGGAACGTATTTATTAACGAAACGATTATGCGTAAAAAAGAAAAAGAAAAAATCTTTTTTTTTTTTTTTTATTGAAAAAATTACAATCTATTACATACGCATATAAACGTATATTTAACCCATCCCAAACCGTGAAATTTAAAAAAAAAGTTTATAATTTTAAAAGGTAAATTTCATAGACTACAGTGATTAAAAGTAAACATATTTGATAGAACGTGATTGACGATAACGAATATAACGAATTTCCTAATGAATTTGATTCAGTGAAAGGTGGAAGTGGAGGGGGAATTGTTGGTTTATAATCTGCAATGGGCTTATCAATGGTAGAATATCTATTAAAAAAATAATTGATTAAATGAGTAAATAAACCAAAAAATCATGAGTACCACCAAAAAAAATCAAAATAACGTATTATTTAACTTACCCTATAGTTTCAAATACTCTCATTAATTTTGGACCAATAGATCCATATAAAATACTATCTGTACTATTTGTAGAATTATCATAATTTCCCCCATTAATAATTTCATTTTGAAGAATTTCACCAAAAGGTAATCGATATCTCATTAAAAAATCACTCGTATTATAATATAATATATCATCAACAAATTTTAGATTAACATCATCATTAAAAGGTGATATATTTGTTAATAATACCAAAATATCTTTATAATCTATATCATTCCAAGAAAAAAATCCAATCGTACTATTTGTTGTTGATAATTCATACATTTCTTTTGCAATATTATATTGTGTTGATGTTTTAAATTCTTTCTCTAAATTTCTGATTCTACCTTTAATATTTTTTGTTTCAAAGAATTTATTTAAATCCCTTGTTTTATCTGTTAACATTTCACCTGTATATAAATTCATTAAATATTTATCAAATATATATTCTCTAAATCCAATCCATTTTTTATGCACTTTTCTACCCTTAATGCTACATTCTCCATTTCCATCATCACAAAGAGGTCTAGGAACTATAATTGTTTGATCTTTAAACCACGTTCCCCATGATGAATGAAATCCTAACGCTCGAACTATTTCACGTAATGCTAATTGTAAAAAATCTAAGTTTTGTGTAGAATTATAGATTGGTAAAGGATCTCCTTGAAACCAATAATTCGATCGTATAGGAAACCTAACTTTAATATCTACATCATCATATTCTGGAAGATTTGTATAAAATTGTTTCGCTAAAGGTTGTTGATAATATCTTTCAACTCCTTTTTCATCTGCCAATAAAACCATTGATCCGGGTCTTGCATTTCCTTTTTTTTTTAAAAAAAATAATAATAAAATTGGTTAATACTTTTTTTTTAACGTAAAAAATTTTTTATAAAATTTTTTAAAATTTTCTAACGAACGAAATAAATTTTACCTATAAGATTAATATCTTCTACACAATCAATTTCTCCAAGCATACAATCTTGTTCAACTGTTACATTTACCAATAAAGGTTCTTTAAATAATATTACTGATGAAAGTAATGTTCCGATTGTATTAAATGATTTTATTATTTTACCACAATAAATTGTATCATTTGATACACATGTTACTGCGAATATCATTTTATTATCTCCTCTTTTAATAAGCTGATCATTTTTTTTTTCAATATTTGTTATCGGATATTTAACGCATTGTATCGTTGATATTTGTAAATTTATAATGATAATTATTATTACTATAATATTTATAAAACTTATTTTCATATTTAATTAAAAAGAAAAAAAAGAATAAAATAAAATAAATATATTTCGTTTCAGAAAAAAATATATAATGATTTTTCAGAAAAAAAAAAATTATGATATTTAAAAATAAAAGAAAAAAAGAAAAAAGAAAAAAAAAATATCAATCGAAAGAAAAAAAGAAATTCGGAATTTTCGGAGTAAACAGTTTTTATCTAAAATAAAACAATGAATTAACCAAATAAAACTTGGTGCATAATTGTTAATTTTATAACTATAGTCGTGTAACCTTAACGGGCTATAAGACTATAAATACTTTCAACCCTAAATATTTTTTTTTAGAATTTTCTATTGGATTTTTCCTTATACAGAATATCCAATTTTTTGTATAAAAAAAATTTTTTTAATAGTAAAAAAAAATAATGGGACATGTTCGTTAAAAACCGTACTCTGCAGTAAGCATGTCCGAAATTTTCCTGTATCACGGGTATCCTGCAAATTTCAAGGGTATATTACTATTACATGGGTGGATACTATACTAGTTATTTTTTAACGGATTGGCGTTAATTAAGTCAATATGAGGTAAATCATGTATTAATTTAAAATCGATCTAATGTAAAAAAGTTTATTTAAAAAAAAAATGATGTAGACACTCTCTGCATTTACCAAAAAAAGAAAAAAATTAATAGTGAATCCGATAAAAGATAAATGACAAACTTTAAGTTGATCTAGTTGATCTGTAAATGAGTAAAGAATTTATGACCAAAAAATTTTTCGCCCTTACGGAATATATTTTGTCTTTCGCTGATGATTTACTTACTAGAAACGCTCTCCGCCGATGATTTAAACGCAACGGCATTTTTTCCTTTTTTTGTGTATCGTACAAGCTGAAGTTGAGTGGAGTACGGTAACATTTGGCGAGGTAAGACGAATAGTTGTGGAGTCCGGTGGAGATGTTGAGTGGTGTACGGTGACATTTAGCGGTGTGTAACATAATAGATGTGAAGCGTACTCAGGTGATGAATAGTATCTCGGCCCACTCTGAATCACGTGTTTAGCCCGTCGTGTTATTTATCACTTGAGTAAACTGTCACATAGGGGACCGTACTCCACTCATCATCTCCACCGGACTCCACAACTTTCCGTATCACTCGCTGATCCGGGTATTAATTACACAAAGCTCTCAAATTAGAATATAAATTCTCAATTAGTTTATTATTTCTCACAAAATACTTTTTTTTTTTTTTTATAAAAAAATTTATATATATATATAATTAGAATCCTTCTAAAATGTCTTTTGAATTTTATCCTGGATTATCACAGAATTTTTCTCAATTACTTGAGGATACAGATGAACATAATGTTATTATTAAAGTTGGAGAAGGTTCAAATACAAAAGAATTTCGTGCTCATTCTATTATATTGAAAGCTCGTTCTATTTATTTTAAAAAAGCTCTTTCACAGGATTGGGTTACTAAAGAAAATAACATGATTAATTTTACTAAACAGAATATTTCTCCTATTGTGTTTGAGATGATTATTAGGTAATTATTTCTTGTATTTCCGTCTACTGCTTTGCCGTCAAATGGCATTTTTTTTTTACTTTTAGAATAATTAAATTTTATAATTTTTTTTTTAGATATATATATACTGGTATTCTTGATTTAAAAGACAAAGATGTTTCAGATATTTTAGATCTTCTTGTGGCATCTGATGAATTATTTATTGAGGAATTGGTTACTTTTATACAAAAGTACTTGATTGAAAGTCAGACTGAGTGGGTAAGACAAAATAGTTTCAAAATTTTCCGTAAGGTGATTAAATTAGAAAGTTGTAAACAACTTCAAGAAGGTTGTTATGAAATTATTTATGAATATCCTGAACCTTTTTTAAATTCCCCTGAATTTCCAAGATTGGAAAAAAATATTCTTCTTAATTTAGTTAAGCAAGATAATTTAATCATTGAAGAAATTGAATTATGGAATTATCTTATTAAGTGGGGAATTGCTCAAACTTATGAATTAGATGATAAAAATATAAATGATTTAAATAAATGGAACAAAGAAGATTTCTTAGCTTTGAAGAAAACTTTAGAACCATTTATCTCGCATGTCAGATTTTTCGATATTTCTCCAAAAGATTTTCATAATATTATCTTTCCTTTTAAAAAAGTGTTACCTGAAACACTTCGTAAAGAATTATTGTCTTTCTATATGACCGAGACTTTACCTGAAAATGTATTACTTCCTCGTAATGGAATTATTACTATTGATTCAGTTATTATTAGACCAAAACATGCCGCCATTCTTTCTAACTGGACTCAAAGAAATGAAGCTACTGCAAGAATTCCAAAGAATAAATTTAATTTTAACCTTATTTACCGTGGGAGTAGAGATGGTTTTGATAAAGACATCATGCGTAGTAAATGTAATGGACAAAGAGCAACTATTTTAGTTATCAAAATTAAAGAAAATGGAATTATAATTGGTGGTTATAACCCGTTAAGTTGGGGTTATTTTGACCATGTCAGATCTTTGAATTTATCAAATGCTTGGAAAAAAACTACGGAAAGTTTCATTTTTTCTTTAGGTAATAAGAAAGATTTTAAAAAAGTTATTAGTCGAGTTGTCAATAGCGATTGTGCAATGTTTGATAGTAGTAATTATACAAATGTTGCTTTAAATTTCGGTAATAGCGATTTAGTGATTAATGGAACAAATGGTTCTTGCAATAGAAAATATTACGAAAGTAACATTTTGGATACAAATAAATTTTTAATTGAAGAAATGGAAATTTTTAAATTTTATCAAAGCGAGTGACTTAATAGTAATAATAATTACATAATTATTTGTTTCTTCGTTATATTATTTTATATTTTATCCTTATAGTATTCAAAGTGTATGACATATTTAATACGAAGATTTTAATTATTATTACTTAATTTCAAATATTATTTAAATAAATGCGAAATATTATTTAAGATTTTGTGTTATTTTTTAAAATTTTACAATGAAGATATAGAAGATATAGATATATCAATTGTTTTAGTCAGGGTCTAGTCGTACATTATCAACAATTCGTGAATTTACCTGTTCACTAAAAGAAGCATACGGTCAACTAACCAAAACTATATTCGGTATCATATAGTAAAAATTTACTGACTGATGAATTTTTTTTAACGAAATTGATATTGAGATGATTTAATCTTTGAGCATCATCAGATAATTATTGAACTGTAATTATGAATTTATTTCGTTGCCTGTCCACGTCGTTCACATATTGTCATTTCTCCGCTTTTAACTTTTAAGGCTTTGCGTTTCACGTTCTTTTTTCAATTGACGAGCACGTCAAAACTTCTTCCGTTAAAAAATCTGAAATTAATGAAAAATTTGATAATTTTTATTTATAAAACTAACATTCAAATAATATAAAGATTTTAAATGAATACACAATGCAATAATCTAAAATTCAAACATCAATATAAATTTATTTTATTTTATTTTTTATAAAAATTATAGTAAAATATTAATATATTTTAAAGTTTTTTTATATATAACTAATAATTAATTTAATTAATTTGAAAAAACAAATAAAAAAATTGAAATATCTAAATCAAATATTCGAATCTTGTAACATATTTGAAATTCTAGAATATTTAACTTCATCTGATTTATATTCGATTATCCCAATTTGGATTTAATGTTAAATATGACGCAAATATTTATGGCAAGCGGACTTTGAATGGATTGCCAACTTGCTATAAATATTCGAGCTAATGTTGTGGGCAAAACTTATTTTGTGATTGACGAAACTTTCCGTCTTTTAGGGTTAAATTCTGAAACTTCGCCCAAACCTCCGAAACTTTTGTGACCTCTGATACTTTAAGTCTGAATAATCACTCACTTATAGTGTCAACATATGCCTTATTGTTTTACAGTATTTAAAAATAAAATTCATGCCTGTTGTTTCTTTTTAAAATAGTACATTACTATAAGATTTACTTTCAAATCTTCAATAATATCATGACACTTTTTACCATATAATGGTCTATCATGCGATCATGCGCGCGCATTACAAAACAACCAATATAACCAATCTATGTTTCATCACGGAAAAGAAACTAGTTCCGTCCATCCTCAGAAGTTTCGCCCATCAATAGATTTCTGTTTCGTCCGCAACATTAGCTATAGTCGCATTTACAACTTGCAAGGTAAGTATAATTTCTTTTTGTATGGTAAATTAATTTTTTCTTAGCAATTAATTAAGGGCTTTCTTATCTCGTTTTTTAGGGTGCATGAAACATCCTGCTTCAACAACACATTATTAATCGACGGATGAAGAATAACTTGCTGCAAAGGTAAATAAAGATCTTTGTTGTCTACGAACATATCGACGTTTGAAAAAATTAAAGAAATCGAATAATATTCTTGAGTTTTATTCACGTAATTTTATTTCATATAGTATCAACAATTTTATATCTAGATTAAAAGAATGTGATTGTTATTTTTTTTTTACTGGAGAATGTGAGCCAAAAAAATGAATTCATTATTTTATAATAAATTTAAAAATAACTTTGATGAGTAAAGATAACTTTTTGAATCATCATATACACATCATGCAAATGTTTTTCAAATGAAACTAATACTTTTTACGACGTAGTACCTTTAGAGAATATTAGAACACGCAGAGTTCTAATGTAAAGATAAAACGCTAAATTACTTCATTAGGAAATGATTGCTCTCGCATAATTGTCCGGAGCGAAGCGAAGGACTATATATGTCTACGCACTATGATGATCTATGGAAATAACGTGTAAATTTTCAATCACGTGAGTTTCTCTGTCCNGGAGTAATACCTTATATTGCACCGGAAATATTTAAAGGATCCGAATTTTCTAAAGAAGCTGATATTTATAGTTTTGGTATGATTATGTGGGAACTTACAACAGGTTGTAAACCTTTTAATAATGTTAAACATGATCATCATCTTATTTATAAAATTCTTGATGGAGAACGACCTAAAATTACAGAAGATACACCAGAATGTTATGACTGTCTCTTATACACATCTAGATGTGTATAAGAGACATATATATGTCTACGCACTATGATGATCTATGGAAATAACGTGTAAATTTTCAATCACGTGAGTTTCTCTGTCCAGGAATTCCAAGGCGTTATGCTGCTAATCAGCAGAAAATTACCGGAATTCCAAGGCGTTATGCTGCTAATTAGTAGAATATCGCTACATCTTTATTTATTATACCTCGCTCCGGACTTACAACGGTTCCCGTTTCCTAGTAGTAATATGCGAATAGAATAATTTTATAATTAAATGCAGGTAAAGACTTATTATTATTATTATTTAATAAACTACTTTTTTTTTGTATTACGTTGAGTATGTCCGAATATCCGGATTGAACGGATACAGAATTCTGGATATACGGATAATCCGACGGATATCCGGATAATATCCGTTAAGAGTAACTTGGACAAATTTTATAATGCCGGCCAAATAATTTTTTGTGGAACGGCTATCGCTAAAAATGGAAATGATCATCTTACCAAGGCGTAATCCTGGTCGGAATTGTAAATTTGGCCTGAATTAGTCTTCGTAAATAATTGGATATCCGGATAATATCCGGGTAATATCCGGATAAATCACGCAAAAATCGGATATCCCGGATATAAACTTTCATTGTAACAAGCTTTAGAATGTCTATACTATAAAAGTATTACACACTCTAATTTGTCGTACAAAATTATTTTTTGGCCTTTATTTATATGCAAAAGGAGAAATAATTTTTCTTATTTTCCGTTTTTGTACAAATTATTGCTTCACTTTTTTCCGTTTCCTTTCTCGTTAATTTGTACTTTCCATCAATATCTTCTATGTTGAAAGGTTTATTTTATTACGCCAAATACTTAGATATTTCCACTAGTTGATAATGTGAATTACTAAATAAGTAAAAATGACAAAGTTAAATGTAAACGGACGTACTAGTCGTACTATGGTAAATTCTTAAGATTCCATGAGAAAATCTAGAAATATTTTCCGTATCACCAACAAAAGGCTCAAACTCCCGATAATTCAGATATAAATAAAATACGTACTTTCAAATTTTCCAAATTCATTATCTTATCGATACTTGTTTATAACAAATATTAATTAACTTAATAAAATGGAAATTGTAAATGCAAATGATGAAAATTCTTTTGATCCAACACCAAGATTAAAATCTAGTCCTATACCAATTAAATTTATTTCTTTTAATATGTGGGATGAAAATTGTATTTATTGTGGAGAAAAATATATTAGGACGCTTCTTTGTTCTTGGCAAAAATATTGCAAAAAATGTTTATCACGTTATATTAATGATATAACTGATAATAATATATACTTGGATGTACACTATATAATGGACTTGGAATGTAGTGAGCATGAAATAGTAAATAGAACACAAGTACCACAAAGTATTCAAGAATGCTGTGGAAATTGTGTGAGCATTTTATATTTTAAACAAATAGATGGAAATCCTATTAGTAATGATGGAACCGATAAAAATATTTCCACTTTATACAATAAAGTGATTGAAAGTGAAAGAAATTGTAAATTATGTGGAAAGTCATCATATCAAGGAACAGATGAATGGACCAAATTATGTTCATTATGTTCAGATTGTTATCTAATTTCTTTTGAATTGATAGAATCAACCTTAGTTAAAAAGCAAATTTCAATTCTTTACTTACCATGGTGGCGTAATAAAAGTCGTGATTGTAATATTTGTCATTCAAAATTAACAGTTACATCGGACTGTCAAAAGTATTGTGTAAAATGTTTTGTATTTTATGTTGGATGCAGATATTGTTTAACAACAAACATTCTTTTTGGACCTACGGATCAATCTCAATGTAAAAAATGTAAACGAATATCACTTATCGTAAACAGCAGTGAATACAGTGGTCTTGATGATTTTATTATTAACAATATTATACATGATAATTTATATAATTTAGAGATGAAAAAGTTTAAAGATATTGTAAAAAACATTGATAAATACTTTATATCATACGATATATTAAGATCTATATTTTCTATTAAATTTCAAAAAAGAAAAAGTAGGATAGGACCAATTTTCTGGATCTCTTTTTCTCAATTTACAGATGTTGAAGAAATAGCAAAAGGAGGATATGGTATTATATATAAAGCAACTTGGTCAAGTAAAAATGAAACTGTCATTTTAAAAAGATTTGAAAATTCTAAAAATATTGGCAAATATTTCTTAAATGAGGTAAAATATTTAAACATTTCTTATATAATTTTCTTCAAATTTAATTTAATTAAACTTTTAAATTTTTAAAAATAGTTAAAATCATGTCAACATTGTTTTAAATTTTATGGAAGTTATATTATTGAAACTTATGGCGTTACTAAAGATCCTGAATCAGAGGATTATATATTAGTTATGAAATATGCGCCAAATGGAGATTTACATAAATATTTACAAAAGAATTTTACAAATCTTACATGGAATAACAAAAAACTACTTATTTTATATGACATTTCGAAGGGGTAAGTATGATATTTATTAATTATACTCTAAAATTTATGTTATTAACTTTTTATATTTTTAGACTTGAAACTATTCATAATAAAAAATTTATGCATCGAGACTTCCATAGTGGGAACATATTATGTGATTCAGGTAGTGGTTATAGTAAGAATAAATATAAACATGATCAATTGCGAATTGGAGATCTAGGATTATCACAAGCTGTAAATAATAAATCATCAAATAATGAAATATATGGAGTAATACCTTATATTGCACCGGAAATATTTAAAGGATCCGAATTTTCTAAAGAAGCTGATATTTATAGTTTTGGTATGATTATGTGGGAACTTACAACAGGTTGTAAACCTTTTAATAATGTTAAACATGATCATCATCTTATTTATAAAATTCTTGATGGAGAACGACCTAAAATTACAGAAGATACACCAGAATGTTATGCTAATTTAATGAAAAGTTGTTGGGATGCCGATCCAAAAAAAAGACCTTCTATAAAAGATATTCGTTTGACTTTTGGTAGGTGGACATTTAAAAATGTAAATGAAGAAGAATTTGAACAAGCTGAAGCAAAGAGAAAGAAAATGATAGAATCAAAGAAGATTGGGCCGGAATTTGCTGAAAAACGACATTCGGGGGCTATTTATACAAGTAGACCATTAAGTGCTTTAATTTCTAAATGTTCATCTATCTATTCATCTTCAATTTCATTTGGTAAGCGAGGTATTATAAAAAAATATTGTTTGAATATTATCTATATACTGTAATTTTAAGAAATATGTTATAATCTTTAGATTCCAATTATATCTCAGAATTAAAGGATGATAAAGACACTGAAAGGTATTTAAAATAGCGAAAAAAAATTTTATTTTAAATGATATAACTAATTATTTGAATTTGTTAATTTATTTACTAGTTTATCATCACAAAATTTAAATTTTGCAAATCAAAAATTTTCAACCTCTCTAAATTCTAATTATATCTCAGAAGAATTAAAGTTTGATATACTAGACGATGAAAGGTATTTCAAATAACAAAAAAAAAATGTTTCTAAATGACACAACTAATTATTTTGATTTATTAATTTTTTAATTAGTTTATCATCACAAGATTTAAATTCTACGATTCAAAATTTAGATTCTAAATATATCTCAGCAGAATTAGAGCTTGATATAAACACTGAAGGGTATTTAAAATAATGATAAAAAAAATCTAAAATGTTTTTAAATGACACAACTAATTATATGAATTTATTATAGTTTATCATCACAAAATTCAAGTTCTACAATTCAAAATTTTTCAACCTCCTCAAAAAAGAGAAGAAATAAAGTTGGAACTCATGACGAGAGTGGTAAATATTTATCTAGCTCGATATTATTTTATTTTAATATTTACGTTAATATTTAACTTTATTGTTTAAATTAAATTTAAAAAAAAAATATCATAATAGGTAAACGTATTAAAACTAGTTTTAATCTATAAAAGTTAAAATATTTCGTTATCCGTGTAACCGATTTCCAATAAATTTCATAAAGAAATTAGAATCCAGGATACTTTATATTAGAACTTAAATTTGCAATCTTTTTAATCTTTTTCATTTCGTATAGAGATTACAATTTGTTAATGAATTTATAATAAATATCTACTTTTATATTTAAAGGATATTATAAATCAAATAATGTTTTCCTGAGATTTGTTTCTAATGCTATTTTAAAAGTTACTTCTTTGGGTAGCAGAAATAGAGCAAAATCTTAGATTCGGGAAATGTCATTGTTGACCGAGTTTACGGTAAAATAACATAATATACATAATTTTAGAATTTGATTGATACGCAAATAAAATTATCATTGACTTCACGCAGAACAAAATAGACGAAAAAACTTTTTGAAGCCACATTAAGGATAACATAGGACCCAGAAATATATATAAAAGGGTCAGGTTTGAGTTTGCGTATTTTGAACTAAAAAAAATCATGAAAATCTTCCTATTATAGTAACCGACTGACATTATCATAATTCTGGCCCTGAAAAAATGCGTACAGCTCATAGTAAAAAATTTTTTTCATCACCTGACCCCTATATATATATTTCTGGGCCCTGATAACATTAATTTTTAGAAACCACTTTTTGTATTTAAGTTAGTTTAAGATTGAGTAGACCTATATTATATGCGTTATATTTTTGTTTTACGAGATTTTACTATAACGAGCTTTTGAATGAAAATTCAAAATAATAAATGTAAATTTACTGTATATCAGCCAGCCGCCATTTAATTTTTGCGCTCACTTTTTCGTAAGAGTTGACGTCACTATATCGATAAGGAAATTTTAATTTATGCCGACATTTAAAGTCATTACGTAAGAAGTATATGAACTATTTTTTCATTCGGTAGTACAGTATGAGAAACGCTGCGGCATTATTTGTTTTACAAAGTTAAAAATACTCAAAAACTAGGAAACATTAAGCCTAGTTAAACTAGTTAACAGACTTCCAATCTTTACTTTTGAATAATTTATAGAATCAAAAACACGTTATTTGATAAAATAAATATTTTATAAATTTATATACGTAATTTGTTTCGTTATAGTAAATTAAAAATTGTTTGAAATAAAAAAATAAGTTCTCAATGGATAAAAATTTTAGTTGTATAAAAAGAACAAAAAAAATAGTTAGGAGTTTTGAGGCGATAAGTATTGAATTATTAAAGGATATCAGCTAACATTATACTTCTTAAAAGACTTAATTCAAAATAAATTAGGGCAGTAAGTCTTAACCCACCCCACATAATATATAAAATCTTATGCGACCTTTCTTTACCCACCCCTAAAATATTACTAAAATATTACGTAATCCCTTATACAATCAGAGTATACTAGCGCAATAAAAATTATTAAGTAAAATTATGTCTATTAGACGGTACTTTAATTATTACGGATGATAATAGGAAAAATTATGGTAAAGCAATCAAAGCATAAAATATAGCGATTTTTTCTAATAAACTTCATTCGTGTGGAAAGTTTAATGAGATGTACTGTATAGCGATGGATTGTTAAAGTTTTAAATTCACCTTACTAAAGGTTATTACACAAAGAGCAAAGAACATGAATTGAAAATTCAAATACCAAAGAATTTATTTCTACTTTTATTATCTTGAGAATTTCGAACTTTGAAGCTTTAAAAGAGCTTTTCTCGGATTAAGTAAAACAATATATACTAATTAAATTTTTATATAGAACATTTGATATATTTTTTAATTCAGAATTGACTAATTGTAGGCGACGATAAAACTCAATAAGGAATACGACTATACGAATCAGAATTCAAATTGTTTGTTATCGCAATACCTTTTATGGCATTATACGAAAATTGTTTGGCTAATCGTATCATAATCGCTAAAAAAGCGCGTTTGTTTATCTAAGAAATGGATTATGATAGATTTTTTTCATGTAATACTTTTTATAAAGCTAAGTACAATCTTATTAATCTTTGATTATTATTATTATTATTATTTGTTTTCAGTAGAAAATATTGTTATTCGTAGAATGATCTGAAAAATTGACCGCTACACCTCACATAATTGAAATGTTCGTATTGTAAATGAGAGCATAACACAATAAATATCATTGAAAGGTTTATATGATACTTTCGATATTTCACAACTATCTAATGACTAAATTATGATAGGCTACAAAACATATTTACACTAAATATGGTAAGTATATTGTAATTTGTGCAACTTAACTAAGTGGTGGCATTTTTATTATTTTCTCATTCTATCCGTTAATGGGATCCCTTGTGTTTTAAGTTGCACTAAATAAATTTGAGTTAGGTTACACCGATGATCACAATTTACACAATTTACACAAGGCGCTTGAATTAGAATACAAGTTTTTTTTTTAAAAAAATATTTCTCACGAATTCTTTTTTTCTTACGATAAAAAACACACTAAAAATTTATTTTAAAATGACTTTTGAATTTTATACTAGATTATCTCAAAGTTTTTCTCAATTACTTGATGACGCAAATGACCATGATATTATTATCAAAGTTGGAGGAAATTCAAATACAAAAGAATTTCGTGCTCACTCATATATATTAAAAGCTCGATCTCCTTATTTCAAAAGAGCTCTTTCACAGGACTGGGCTATAAAGAAAAACAATATGTATAATTTTACTAAACCGAATATCTCTCCCATTACATTTGAGATTATTCTTAGGTAATTATATATTTTTGTTTTCTTATGTGATATTAAAATTTAACGTATTTAATGATTATTATTATTATCAGATATATGTATACTGGTATTCTTGATTTAAAAGGTAGCGATTGCTCAGATATTCTAGATCTTCTCGTGGTATCTGATGAATTACTTATTGAAGAATTGGTTACGTTTATACAAGATTACTTTTATGAATATAAAATTGATTGGTTGAGACAAAATAGTTCCAAGGTTTTTCATACGGTAATTAAATTGGAAAGTTGTAAAAAACTTCAAGAATATTGTTATGAAATTATTTACGAATTTCCAAAACCTTTTTTAAATTCCCTTGAATTTCCAAGATTAGAAAAAAGTATTTTACTTGAATTAGTTAAACAAGATTTAATAATTGAAGAAATTGAATTATGGAATTATCTTTTTAAATGGGGAATCGTTCATACTCCTGAATTAGAAGGAAAGAGTATAACTGATTTAAGTAAATGGGATGAAGAAGATTTCTTAGCTTTAAAAAATACTTTAAACCCATTTATCTCTCATGTTAGATTTTTCGATATTTCTTCAAGAGATTTTCATACTATTATCTGGCCTTTTAAAAAAGTGTTACCCGAAATACTCTGTGAGGATGTATTGTCATTTCATATGGCTGGTAATATACCTGAAAATAAATTACCTTCTCGTAATGGAATTGTAACTAATGATTCAGTTATCATTAGATCAAAACATGCCGCAATCCTTGTTAACTGGGCTCTAAAAAAGGATGATGATACAAAAATACCAAAAAATAAATATAAATTTCAACTTATTCATCGTGGAAGTAATGATGGTTTTAGTGTTAAAACTATGCGTAGTGCATGTAGTAATAAAGGTCCAATTTTTTTAATCGTCAAAATTAAAGAAAATGGAACTATAATTGGTGGTTTTAATCCTCTCGGTTATAAGAATGATAATTATTATGGTAAAAATAGAGAATATTTTGGTACAACTAATGATAGTTTTATTTTTTCTTTGGGTAATAATAAAGATTGTAAAAAAATTATTAGTAGAGTTACCAATGAATTTTATGCGATATGTGAATCACGCTACACAAATCTTGCTTTAAGTTTTGGTAATAGCGATTTAATTATTAAGGGTACATATGGTACGTGCAAAAAATGTTATTATCAATGTGAAATTTTAGATACTGATATTTTCTCAATTGAAGAAATTGAAATCTTTAAATTTTATGTTGAAAAAAACAAATAACTTACATTATTTTAAAAACTTTATTATTGAATATTTTTTTGCATTATGTTTTAGTTAATTTGTTCTACAGTTTTAATAATTTTACTATAAAGATAGAGAGATATTACTAGTTACTATTTATTTCTTCGTTATCATAACAATGGCATATTTAGTATAGATATTTTAATGATTATAAATTATAAATTTATTTAAGACGAAATAATATATAATTTCTTATATCCTTAAAAAAAAAAAAAATATATTTTTTTTTTCAAAATTTACAATTTTCATAATGTACATATAATAAGTATTCGGGTACCATATTACTGATATTAGCTACTGCGACCTCTTCATCAAATAACTTATAACTGTTGAACTAAAACTATTAATTATTTCATACCTCGTTTCTTATTGTTCCCGCGTTTAACTTATTGAGGCTTACGTTTCGCGTGCTTTTTTTTGGTTGATGAGCCCGCCTTAAATTTGAGACATTCTCATTAAAAAAATTCAGAAATGTTTTTAAAAATATAATATTTTTTTGAGTTAAAATCAACAAAATTTAAATGAATATACGATGTGATAACTCGAAAATAGTAAAAAAAAATGTCTTTTCCTATATAGATGTATTTGAAAAATATTCATTATTATTTGTAACTGAAAACATAAATGATCATTTTCAAGAAAACACGGTGTTGCATGAAAAAGAATATTTTGTAGTAAATTTAGAACGTAAATATTGGGAAGAGTTCAAAGTTATGGAAATAATGAAAATACATCAATTTATCCGTTGCACGGCGATGGCCAGAAATACAATTATGTTAGCCGTCCATTATATTAAATATCTTTTATCTACTGGGAGATTATCTTTTTATAATTCCAGTGAAAATATTGTTGCCGCACAAATCAGTTGAAGGGTGAGGGACAAACTCAAATAGTTTAAAGATACCTCAAACACCCCATCATCATTGGACAATCTAAAGAAACAAAATAAAAATTGTAAGTATACATCATAATTATTAAGGTAAACATCCCGGGCTTAACACGGTAACATCTAAACACATATCCTATTCACCACAACCGGACTTAAACATGGTAGCTTTTCAGATAATTAAATGAAGAAGGACGTTCATTGACTGGTAACTATCGCAAACTGTGCCACGTTGCGCTTCCAGTTCTTTATCAATTATCCTAGTGGCAGCGTAACTTCAGATATGTATAACTCAGCATTGCTTAGTGGCTCACCTATTCGATATTATAGCTTTTTAAATTTGTTGTATCTTATCTTCGTATAGAAAGGTTAATATCTATTTCGTAAAACTTGAGACTTGTAAGTCAGAAGGATGAATATTTATTGTTTACAGAGAAGGTCAATATCTTTTTCGTAAAACTTGACTTGTAATTTAGGGTATTGTTTAGAGAAAGATTATTTTTTTCTTTTAGGCTATTTAAGCGGATGATCATAATGGTCTTTTGTTACTTTCTTATTACGTTAAACCACTATAATTAGATATACTATTTTTCTGACACGTGCCTGTATCAGTATGTTTTGTTTTGATTATTGCGTCAGGTTTTGCTTGTCATTTTCTTGTGTAACACGAATATCCGACCTTCTGACCATAAAATTTTAGGTTATATACTCATATATGGTTCGCCAATATTAAAATGATATTAATTTTGTTTTCCACCAATTTTTTTTATTATAAAGACTGAAGTAAATTATTAAATTAAAAGGTTTTTAAATATGACTAATTAACTACCCTTGAAGAACAATAATTCAAAGGTTCAAATTCGAAGATTCAAACATCAATTTCCGTATCATGCATCACATATTTTGAATGTTAAAATTTTAGAATATTAACTTCACTTGGTTTAAATTCGAATAACCTAATTTGTATACTATGTTAAGGTGACGCAAATATTTATAGCAAGCGAACCATTTGACTTGAATGGCATATTGAGGGCGAAACTGTTTTGTGATTTATGAAACTTTTCTCAAACTCTGAAACATTGGTCCAAACTTTCAACCTGCTCAAACTTTCCTATCCTCCAAAACTTTTAAGTCTTGAATTACTTGGTCCAGACCTAATTTAACGTTGATTTTATATGTATCTTATTATTTTAAAATTAAAATATTAGTTGTTTCTTGTTTTCTTCGTAAAATTGTACATAAATTTACATAGCATCAATTACTTCATCAGCTTCAAAAATAGTGAAACTTTTATTTTAGTTCATATAACATAATTTGCCATATAGTGGTTCGGTCTATTTTCGTCCTGTTTTGATCACAAATATTTTTTTTTATATGGAAAATTACCAATTTAGTTTAATTGAAATTTTTTATTTTTTTTTCTATTTTGGAGTGACACAAAAACTTGTGATACATCCTGCTTCAACAACACATTAACGGATAAAGAATAATTAGTTGTGAATGTGAATAAATAATACGTTTCTCTGTTGACATGAACACATAGATGATATCAAAGAATAAATAAGATTATGAGAATGCGCTTGGAAAAATAATATTATACTAGTCTTTGACTAAGTACGGACTGATCCATCTTTAATATTTTATTAAAAAAACTCAATAGTGATATAGGCCAAAAGACTAGCCATGGACCGCTGGACCGGTCCTGACTGCCGAAAAAGTTGACCGGACCGGAACAGACTGATCCAACCCTAGGTCCATTGATTTCATATTTATAAAATCGTCATGAATAAAAAAATTTCTCAATAATAAATAAATTTATTAAGCAACTTTTATTAACACATATGCATGAAACTAATCAATATTCATTGTAAAATCATCAAAATTAATGGATAAATCTCTATAACTTTGAATTCTAATATTATGTAACTTGAATTCCTTTACTATATCTTTCAAATCAGATAATTCTCTACGTTTTTTAATATTCTCAATAGCTAAATATCTAACTCTTTTTTCCTTCATAATATATTTCTTTATATAAGGTAAAATATCATCACTACCACCTTGTCGAAATATTAATAATTTATTAATAAAAATATCTTGAGAATTTTCCAAGAAAACTTTAAAATCATTTTCTTTAATAACAAGAGACAAATTTATATATTCTAATTTATTAGGAAGAATTTGTCCTAAATTTTGTAATATTATTGAATTACCAATTGATAAATGACGATTATCTTCCCATATATGAATTGAAAGATAATTAAGATTTTTTTTAATACTTTCAATTAAATCAAATATTTTATAAGTAATTTGAATTTCAAATTCAAATAAATCAAGAAATTTAATATTTTTACAATATTTTATAAATAATTCTAATAATATTTTTCTTGGTATTGTATTACGATTAAAATCGAAACCGAAATTTTCTAAAGAATCACCAGATTTTTGTAATAATAAATGTAATGATTCAATTTGAAATAATTCATTTATAAATAAAGATTTCAATTTAAATGGTTTAGTTAAATTAATAATTTGTTGAATAAAATCAGTATTTAAAAAAGAACAATAAAGAATATTAACAGATTCTAAAACATTTAATTGTTCAAATATTTTATAAAAATTGAATATATCATTAAAATTAACATGATAAAAAGTGATTGTATTTAAAGTATTTGAACAATTATATTCTTTTAATAATAATAATGATTGATATGAAGGTAAATCATCATAACCTATTAAAATTTTCTTAAGATTTTGTTGTAAATTAATTATTTCTGTTATACGATTTTTAATTAATTTAAATTCATCATAATCTCCGATAAAAAGTTTCAAATTTTTAATATTATGAATAAAATTTTTATTCTGTAAAATTAATTCAAGAATCTTATCAAGACATGTATTATAATAAGTACTTGAGACCTCAATTTCTAGGGTATGTAAATTTACTTCATTTTCAATAAATATTTTAAATAATGATATACACATATCATTTAACCCAGTTACTGAATATAATCCAATTTTAGGTTTTGAAGTTTCTAACCATTTCGCAATACAAAAAGTAAATTTATATGTATACAAATATTTTAAAAATTTAGGATAATTGAATAATGTATTTGAAGGTAATAATAATGAATCATTATTAATTTTAGATTCATTTAATTTCGTTTTAAAATAAGTTTCAATAAAATTAAAATTATTTGTAGGAATTGAAAATGGATTTTCCCATAATAATGGAATCGTTAGGCGACACCATAATCTATTAATTAAAATGCATGAATGTAAAGTTGAATAATCATTCTGAAAATATTTTATAATTTTATATGTTAATTCAGGTAAATCTCCTGAAAATATTTTTGAACATGACATATTGTAATTAAAAAAATTAAAAAGTGAAAAGGTGAAACATAAAAATGATAAAATTATTATTACGTCGGACTGAGTAAATTTATATTCATTTTCGTGATGATGATTTCGATATTGTCGCACAATTCGTCAATCTTAATGGTGGTCGATTAATTGATTATACTACTCAATTTACTATACATATTTAGTTATTTTATGGTATTATTTTAGCTAGAACAAGCCATTTTGAATCTATTTTCTGACATCCCGAAATAAATGAATATGAAAAAAAAAAAAATACTATTAAATTCTTCAATTCTCAAATTTGCGGTTGTAACTTAATAGAGATAGGTCCAAAGCAATTTAAGTATAAACCGGGAATTTTTGAAATTTCTCTATGGAGCTACTCCTATGTTGATCCAAACCTTAAATGGTGAAAAAATGAAAAAAAAAACTAACCCGAAAGAGTGAGAAAAAAATTTCAAGTTTGGAAAAAAAACCCAACCCGAAAAAAAATAGGGGAAAAAATTGAAAATTTCAAAAAGAACAAGATTTGTTTGAAAAAAAAAAAAATCAAAAAATGAAAATTATAAAAAAATTTTGGGTTTAAAAGAAAAAAAAAACCGGTCACTATCAGGTTAGTACCTTTTCATTTTTTTATTTTAAAATGCCTTTTTTTTTTACCGTTCTAATAGACTTGAAATTTTTTCTGAAATTTTAATTATCGGTTTTTTAGTTCATACCGAAAAATAAATTTTTTTAATCAGTTTTTTTATTTTCAGTTTTTTTTTNTTTTTTTTTTTTTTTACTAAAAAAAAAAAATCTTTTTAATCAAATTTTTTTATTTTCGGTTTTTTTTAGTTCAATACCGAATAATTTTTTGGTTTTTTTATTCTCGATCTTTTTTCAAAACAAAAAAAAAATTTTTTTAATTGTTTTTTTTTATTTTTAGTTTTTTATTTTGATTTTGGTATTATTTTACATTTTGTTGAATTTTTGTTTATTGATTGATAATAATAATAATTAATGCCAATAAAAAGACTTTGTTTTTACTATTATTTTTTTTATTATTCATTTTTTTGGTTTTCTCCAATTATAGTAAATTTTTAATGATATAAAATCGGATATGTTTCCATGATACTAATGTTGCTGTCGTTAATGCTGTAATCCGAATGGCTTCTCTTCAGAAAATATTTGAAGTTGAGGACTTGAGATTCCTGAACAAACGTAAAAAAGATTATGTAAAAAAGACAATCCTGTAACAGAAAAAGGAAAAGGTCATGGGTATAAATTTTATAGATGAGCGACATATTGGCATAAATTAATCCTGTTGAAGGTTTCTCGAAAATTAGCGGCTGAGGAGTCTCATTTACCATTGTAGTACTTAAGCCCGTCATTAAATGACGTTGCCACCTTAAGTTACAAAATGATCCTTTATTAAATAATTCAAAATAACAACTGTTAATATATTCCGAGTTACGTCATAAATAAATATTTAAGGAAATTATTAAATTGCTTGGTTTCGAATCATTTTCTTCTAAATTATTTTCTAGAGCCAAACTTCGATAATTCTCCCTCCCTAACAATTTCTAATAAACCATCAATCAAAATAATTAATGTGGCTCTTTTTCATCATAAGAAAAAGGCAAAAAGAATCGAATATGGAAAAATGATGGTTGATGTTAATTAATTAACGTCAAGCAACCCTTTTTATAAACTTTTGACATACGATCGTCCATATAAATCATGAAAATAAACATTACAAAATATAATTCTATCAATATTCAAATATAGTAATAAATATTTAACCAATAAAATTTCAACAATAGTTTTCAGAATAGTTTTACATCATTACGGATGGACTTCATTTAAAACACTTCAAAAATTTTATACACCTAAATTAAATATTATACTGCGCCCCACAATTAATAAAGTTGTCTTTACACCACGTGAAGATTGTGGTTCTAATGAGCGTATTGCGATTACCAATCACATGAACCAATTAATTAAAGTATCTTTAATGGAAAAGATAAATTGGAAGAAACTTTAGGATCTGATGAATCAGAATTTCTATTTTTTTTTATAGATATTAAGCTACAAATTAATCTTTTTTAAATTAATATGAGAGTATAATACAATTAATATGTTATATGTTATTACACTTGTATATTTAATTTAAATATTTAGATTAACTTGTCTAGTTTATTAAAATAATTAATAATTCTACCTTATTTTTTGCTCTTTAGTATCAGCTAATATATGTATACGGTATACCATCATGTTCATATGATTAGTGTGGATCTAATTCATGCGCCAATTAAATAAGAATCCTCTAATTATCGAAGGACTCTACAGACTCCATATCAAAGGTTTGTCTGTCACGCCGTGTAAACTACTATGTTACTATTTAAGAATTATTTGATGTTACATATTTTAGTAATACCTAAGGGTAGGTAATACATCTCTTTCGTGGTACTGTATCAACGTATCGGACGCTCCAACGGTTCCCGTTACCTAGTAAAATACTTCTAAGTTCTAAAAAGAACTCTCTGTTGTAATACAGAATGTTCCCGAATATTTCATGCAGAACGTTTTTGTGAAAATGTATATATACCATGTTTGTATGACTGTGATGTTTGGGTACAAATAAAACCCCTTAATAATACAAAGAAATAATCTATAGTATTAGAATTTTCCATGAGAAAATCTGAAAACACTCTGTATCACCAACGGAATTAAAACTAATATATAATTTAGATATAAATACAGCACAGTCAAATTTTCAAATTCATTATCGTTATCGATACTTGTTTATAACTTATATCAATTAACAAAATGAAAATTGTAAATATTACAAATTACAAAAAATCTTTTGATCCAACCCAAGATTAAAATCTAGTCCTATACCAATTAAATTTATTTCTTTTAGTTGGAATGATGAAAATTGTATTTATTGTGGAGAAGAATATACTAGGACGCTTCTCTGTGATCGCTTTGATACTCAAAAATATTGCAAAAAATGTTTATCACAGTACATTAACTAGGGTAATTTGGTATTGTTAGTGAGTTATAATATAATTATTGCATTATTCAGTAATTATTTATATATATTTTAAGTAATATAATAGGGTTTATATTAAAAAGTTGATTTGTATTTTGTATTTTTATCAAATAATAAATTTTATGGTTTATTTTGAGTTTATTAGTTTTATTAAAGAAATATTATATTTAATGATCAAAATGAATTGATCCTGTAACATGTTAAGTGGTAATAATATAAAGATAAATATAAATATAATAGTTTGTATTAATTTTAGTAAAATATTAGATATGATGATAATGTTAAGTATAGTGATTTAAAAAAATTAGATTGGATGCTATTATGATAAATACATTGTATTGAACTTCTCCTGTAATCTATTTAATTCTGACAACATTGCATCATCTACTTTTATTGCATTTGGATCAAAAGATTGGATTTCTAGATTTTCCCAAGATGTGGCACGACTAATTGATACATAAGATTGCCCATGAGCAAACATTTGTTCATCCAATGATACAGTTACATGGGGTAATGTAAGGCCTTGTGTCTTGTGTACAGTTAGAGCAAATGCATTTTGAAGTGGAAATTGTGTTCGTTGTGCTGAAGCTCCATGTAAGTTAAAATAAGTTGTAATTTTTTCTACTATAACTTGATTTATCCCATTATTTATTGGAAATGCCACTTCTACTTGATTTTCATTTATTAATTTAGTTACCACACCAATTGATCCATTACAAAGTTGTTCATTAAATAATTTGTTAGTTAGAAACATTACTCTTGCTCCTTCTCTTATTATTAATTCAGATGGTAAATTAGTATAATGTCTAAATTGTTTATCATATTCTTTTGGTATACATTCTTTTTCATTAACATAATCAATAGCTGTAGAAATTAAAAATCCAGAGGAGATATCTTTAAAAATAGGAAGATAACCACAGATTAAATTATTAATTGAATCTGCA